GTATACGTACGTTATAAAGACGTTATAAATCGAGTCGTATAAGTTACGTTAAATAATAATACTTAATAAAAAATAATTACTATTAAAGATTTTAAAAGTAATTAAAATTTAATTAAACGTAAAAAAATATAAGACTTAATTATAAACTTATATCGTTCCGAATTAAAAAAAAGATTTAATTTTAAGTCGAAGTTAAATAAACCGTTACGAAGTACGGTTAAATTTAATTAATAATAAGTTTACGATTAAAAAGTAAAAGATTTAAGTCTTAATATATAAAAACCTTTAACGTTTAATTAAAACGATAAAGTAAATAACTTTTAAAACGATATAAAGAGTAATCCGAGAAAGTTAATTAACGGTTTAAAAAGTAACACTTAAAAACGTATAAAAAACGTTATATACGTAAAAGGTATTAAAGACGTTATTATAAATTAAAACGAAACTATTAGTATAATTACGGGATATAACGAACGTTTTCGATCGAAAGGTTATAAAAAAACTATCGTTAAATTAACCCGGTATCGACTACGAGATTAAAATTTAAAAGGGACCGGATAAGTAAAAGTTATTTATCCTTTTAAGTCCGTTTTATTACCGATTAAAGGAGAAACTTTTAATTATAAAAAAAACGATCTTAAATCTTTTAAGTTAAAGACTAATTAAACTTAATAAGTCGTTAATAAAAACGTTAATATTATTCGTTAAAAAAACGAACGACGGTTTATAGTTTTATATAAACTATTAAAAGTTAAACTTAATAATTAAAAAAGACTTATACTTAATACTTTTAATAATAAAAACGTTACGGACGGTAGTTAAAAACCGTTAAATATTAAAAGTAAACGTAATTTCGGTCTTTTATTACGTTCGAATTTAATTAAGTAACGAATAAAAAATAGTTTTTAATATATAAACCGGTTTATATAAATAATTAATAATACCCTTTAATTTAATTAAAGTACCGACGACGTTTTAAAAATATATTAATTAAGTATTACAGGATTACTTAAATAAAAACACGTTTATTTTTATAAATAACGTAGTTATATATATTAACAGTACCTTTAAAAATTATTAAAAGGTCGTTAAATAAGTAATTAAAAAACTATAAAAGACCGGGTTATAATTAAACGTTAAAAAGTATAAGTTTATAAAAAAAAAGTTAAAATTTTTAAGTTACGTAGTATAATTAAAGATCGAACTCTCGATTAATTTTATAAAGATTAAAGTAGTTAAAAATTAAAAGGTCCTTATAATAATAAAAAAAGTGTAAAAATTCTTAAGTTTTATAAAGTTTTATTATAAGTTTATTACGGACTACTTTAAAATCGTAATACTTTTAACTAGTTTAATACGAAAAGATTATAAGTTCGTATAAATTATTAAATATTAACGAGTTTTCGATTAATTATATAAAGTTATAATTAACGTTTTAATATTAATTCTTTATAAACCGGGTCGGTTTAAACGAGTAAACGTAGACTCGTTAAAATATATAATAAGTAAAGGGTTATTATAATAAGTAAAAAACTTAACGTAATACTTAATAGTTTACTTTTTAAAAAAGTTATCCTTAACGGAGTATAATTATTCGATTTACGATAAAGAAATATTATTAGTAATTTCGGTCTTATAAGAGTAGTAATTAGAGTTTTAAAGGGAGAGATTTACGGTATTTATAAACTATTAAAACTTAATTTACTTTTAAACTTAATAATAAATTAATAAATAATAAATACGATAAGTTTATAAATTAATAAGTTATAACTATACTTTAATATACCGGTTAAAAAAGTTATAAGTAATTACGGACGTACTTTTATAACGAAAAAAAAATATACTTTAAAAAGTAAAGAACGACCGTTTAATCGAACGAAATATTTAACTATTACGAAAGGTTTAATACGAATTAATAATAATACGAGATTATAATACCGAGTAAAGTTTTAATTAAAACGTTAAAGAGTTAAACTTACGGGTAAGTATAGTATAAACGGTATAAACGAATAACGTTAAAAACGACCGTAATTAAAGTAAAACGAACTTTAAAAAGGTATACGTAAAATAAACTTAAGTTATTAATACGGACTACGATTAACTTAAAAACGATTAAAAAGTAAGTTTAAAAGAAGTATTACTTTTACCGTTTAAAAGAGAAGAGTTAAGTAACCTTTAAAGAAAAGGTTTATAATAAAATAACCGTTATTAAAAGATACGATAATTAATAACCAAAAACGAAAAGACTTTACCGTTAAAATAAAGACTTTCGATTAATATATTAAAGTATTCTTTAAACGAGACGAGTAAACTTCGTTAATATAAAAGGGTTTAAATACCGGTGTAAAAACCTTTACGAATAAAGATTATTTAATTAATATACGACTCTCGTTAAAGGGTTATTCCGGTCGGGAAAGTATACGAAACTTAATAGTCCGTTAGTTTTTATAATTAAGATTAACGTTAAACGTACGAAGGTTCGTTCGGAATTACGTAATTTATTAAAAAAGTAAGTATTAACGTAATATAAAGTACGGGTTATTAAAACCTTTATTAGTACCGAAAAGACTTTAAATAAAGTTATTAATAGACTTTATAACCGAGTTACCGTCGTTTAACGGTTACGAGTCGATTATAATCGTAATAAATAAGTTAAATAAAGTAGTAGTCTTCGAATTAATAACGGGTACGACGACGAAAAAGGTAGTATATAAACTTTTAATCGAAGTCTTACGTTACTACGGGTTATTTATAGTTATTATATCGAATAAAGGCCTTTAATTCGTAAGTACGTTTTAAAGGTTAATTTATAAAAGTCTTAATATTACTTATCGATTATTAACGGTTTTCCACCCGTAAATAAACGACGTGACGGAACGTATAAATTAAAAGTTAAAAATATACTTACGAATATTTACTACGTACGAGTAAAACGATTAAGTAAGGTTTTTATTAATAGTAATATTAATTTTAAATAACCGGATAAGTAGTTCGATAAAGATATTACCGTTTTATATATTATACGGTTATTATTATAAGGTCGAGTTAAAATCGACGATTAAAACTACGTTCGAATAAAGGTCGTCGGTAATAAAAGTAAAAGTATAAATCGAACGGTAAAGGATAGTAACGGTAGTAATATAAACGGTAATAACGGTAACGTAAAACCGTTAAATTAAAGTAATAAATAAACGAAGGGTAGTAATAAACTTCTTTTACGTTAAAAATAAAGTTATATTACACTTATATAATATTACCTTTAACCGTTTATTAAAAAAGTTTAACTAACTAGTCTTATAATATACCGTAACGGAGTTAATAAGATCGTACGTAGTACGATTAAACACTTTAACCAGGATTCACCCGGTGTTTTACGTAGACTTAATACGACGAGTAATAAATAACCCGTTCCCGAGTTAATAACGATAGTTCGTATAACCGAGGCCGTTATTAATAAAGGACTAAGACGAATAAAAGATCGATCGGATCTTTAAACACCGACACTAAAGACGTAATTAAAAGGTGTTAATATATTAAACCGAGTATCCCGTACTAATATAAAAGTTACGGTAAAAAATAACGGATATTAAAACTTTACAAGACTACGAACTAAGCCTCGGTAAAGTCTTATAAACGACGAAGACCCGTCTTATAAAAAAAGGGGGTATTATAACGGACTAAGGGTCCGAGGATAATTAAACGGTACGTAAACTAATAACTAAACTCCCGGACTTCTAATCAGACATCTATAGGCCGGGGTATGTGACGGTACGGTGGTTAGGGAGCCGGACCCTTAATTAAAAGTCTACGAGTAGGACCAGAAAAGGGGGTTATTTACCCAGTCTTACGCTTCTTGTTTTCTTTCTCTTTCTTTATCGATATTCTTTTATTTAATTCAGGAACTAACTTTTCACCAAAGTATTCATCCTAGGTGTTTACGTAACGATCTCCCCTAACAGACCCTTATAAATTAAGAATTATTAAAAGGTTTTAAAGATAAGATTTTAATAAAAAAAAGATTATAAAGTAAAATAGTTAAAACGTAAGTAGTAAAATATATAAAATTTAATCTTTACCCCGTTTTATCGAAAGAAAAGGGTTCGGATAAACTTATATTATTATTTATAAAAACACTGTAAATTCCCCGTTAAATCGACGTATACTTAAAACACTTACGTAAAAAACGTTTTAACCTTAAAGACTAACGACTAACTATAAAAGAGAGTGTATAAGTACTCTACGATACACCGTAGAATCTCTAACGAATAACAAGTAAGTGGAAGGGGCCTGTAAGTGTCTAATAATTAACTAGGGCTCTGACGGTTAACGGCGGTTATATTAACGGGTCGCGTCTAGTAGACACGTTAGTAAGGCCTGGTTGATATAAGCGGTGAAACCCCGTTGAATCCCCGTAGATTTCACGGTGTTTGGGTATGTCATGACAATTTGATCTGGGGGTACCTCTTTTTGTTATGTAATCGTATGTATTTTTTTGTCACTGTGGATCTTTTTTTGACGTCTAGGTTAATTATAATACGCGTTGGAAAAAAGTCTTATTCTCGGGCTTAAGGAGATAGAAGTGGATGGTTAATGGTTAAGTGGTGGGAGAAAAGAGGTGGACTAGCGTAGTTTTATAAAGGGTATGGTTATAAGTTAGAAGAGTTGGGCCGGCCTACCTCGAAACAAGTCTGGTCACTATATAATTTGTTTTTACGGAGTACTCCGTACTTCGTAAGTTGTATAGTATTATCGAAAGTTGCTTCTGTTACATTACGTGGTGGGCCGTTAGTGTTGAGCGTAATGATGTTTGTATTGTTTAAGTTGGTCAGCCACCGAATGAATTAGATAAGAAAAAGAAGATGCCTCAAGTAAACGGATTAGTAAGCCTCTCCCTACGTACCCTCCGACAGTGAAACGAAGAGAAACTGCGTATTGGCGCTGGCTTGCATGTGCGTCGTCTGAAATCTGTGAAGGCTTCCAAATGCCTGTTGCTTCTGAATTCAGTCCTTCTTCTTACCAGTCTCGCTCATAAACTGTTCGACCAATTTGGTGAAGGTCTCTTTCGCCAGTGCCTTGGCAAACGGGTCGGCGAGCTGCAGTGTTGTGGGCACCAGCTTCGTGGTGATAAGTCCCAACGCAATTTTCTCTCTTAGGTAGTGATACTTAATGTCGAAATGTTTGGATCTTTGCGAGAAGATGCTGCCGTTACTAATGGAGTTGGTAGTTTTGTTGTCCATATGTAGCACCAGTGATTAAGGTATTTAGTTTCGCGATGATTCTTTCTAACCGCTCCTTTATTCCTCCATAGTTTTAATGAGTATGTTGAAGACAGAAATAGCGGAGTGGGGTGACACCCGTTCCCGTTCTTGTCCCCATCTGCGTCATGGGTTAAAGAATATGCCGACTTTCTCGAACGATCATCCTGTATGATGACACCGGGCACCACATTCTTTGGCGGATCGGGTGGCAGTAAACAAAACTCGCCCAAAGCATACTCAGCATACCCGGATGCTCGCGGTGCCAGCATCGGCCACGCAAAATTTCCTCTCTCGGCTATACCGAAGACGGCCATCGAGGACCGCGAAACAACGGGCACAGTGCCCGAACGAAGTCAGAAACTTTCTCGCATGGTATTCAAGTGGACGAGAAAGGGTAGTCGGGACTCCAAAGATGGTTCTAACACGCCAGTACCAGTCACGGCTTACAAATACAACAACACTTTAATCGGAAATGTAATTTAGAAAAGATAAAAAGAACGCTTCAAGTACTTTCAAACAGACGGTTTGTTATGTTGCGGTCGCTGGAAGGGGCCCCGGGTTCCTATGCCTCGTTGTCCCCCTACGTACCCGGCTGTTCGTCACCAGCCCACCCACACTTTACAGAGACAAATGCCACAACGTCGTCGATCTCGTCTGGGATTCTATACCAGTGGCCCTGCCCCGCGTAGGCCCGCCATTGCACATCGAATCCGAGCCGGCCCATCGTGCGGTGTGCTGCTTCGCCCAGCGAAACCTTGATTTTGTCGTCGGCCTCGCCATGGCCAAGAAATACGGGGGTTGATAGGACCGTGTGCGCGCCGTCAGAGACATTGTCCAACTGCAGCAGCTCCCGTACGTAGTCTATGCTGTTAGCCAGGGACCTGCCGTGGTCTTGCTTCTCCGTGTCTGCCCCCGCAGAGACAGAACACCGTTCGTCCGTTCCACTAAGAACTACATCATCAAGCTGCGGCCCGTCCCCAGCAGTTGCTCTTGCTTCAATCTCTTTTTGAAACGGTAGCCAGCCACTCATACCGACAAATCCGCCAATGGGTCGCTCGAGTGCGATCAGGCAAATGAGCGCCATCGCACAGCCCTGGCTCAGCCCGCCGAGGATAATGTTCTGTCTTGGGATGCCCGCGTCTCCGCACTCTTGCTCCACGACGGCGAGAGTCTCGGCAAACGACTCGCGCAGCCCCGCGAGCTGCTTGTGGCTGCGGTCGGAAGGGTCGTCGAGGGATGCGACGTCGAACCACTGCGTGAGCATGGACCGGCGGAACGCCGTCGAGCGCCGGCGCCGGGATGTGGGGAAGATGAACTTTGCTCCGGGAAACCGAGATGGCAGTCCAAGGCCATCAGAGCCGATCCCCGTCTCCAGAAGCTCACGGCCGAATTTCTCGCCATTGGAGCCAAGGCCGTGGAGGAGGATGAATGTGTGGGTGTGGTGTGCGGTTGGCTCTACAACAAACGGCGCGGGTGCGGGCCGGCCCGATGTTGACTGTGTCGCCATGAGGGCGCAGTAGAGAAACAGATTAATATCCTCTAGAGAGTGTAAACGATGCTGCGGGCTGTATTTAGGTCGTATGAATTGCTGTGTGGAAGATTGAAGGGTGCCAGATTTAGCACGAATGTGTTGGCTGGCTAGGATTTGAACCGTTGTCCACCACGCGCCCCATAATATTGCCCCTCCCCGTGCGGGGTTAACGCAGCCCAGGGGCCCAGTGACCGATAGGACCTGACTGCCATTGCAGCACGTCGAACAATGGGGGAATTAGGCATATTTAGTGTCCGCTCGGTGCCGTCTTTCAAAAAAAAAAAAAAAAGGAACATTAAAAAAAGAAAATCAATTGTATTCTCAAATTTGATCTACAACACCGAACAATGCCCATCCCCGACATGACAAGAGTTATCACTAATGAAGAAGTCGACCAGGCGACGAAACTCGCTCCGCCATTTTCGATGCCCTGTCTGCTCCCAGATGGGAAAACGGTACTCAAATCCGGCGACACGGTCCGCGAGGCCGAGGCCAACACCATGAAGTTTGTGAGCAAGCACACAAGCATCCCGGTCCCGGAAGTACACAACGTCTACCGAGATGCCAATTCCGGCCATGTCTGTATAGTCATGGAGTATGTGGAGGGCGACCGACTAGACAACGTGTGGGAGGGCCTCACTGCTGAAGACAAGGATGCCATTCTGTTCCAGCTCCGCGGCTACCTCACACAGCTTCGACAGTTAAAAGGCGCGTTCATCGGTACGGTCGACGGTTCTGGATGCAACGACCAATTCTTTTCAATGGACGACGTGGAACACGGCCCCTATGCCAACGAGGCCGCATTCAATGAGGCCCTGGCAAAAGTTTGGTCTGCTAAAGATGAAGATGACCCGTTCACGCGTCTGCTTTGCAGGGTACAACATGCTGTTATGCATGACCATGAAATTGTGCTGACACACAATGATCTGGACCCGAGAAACATTCTGGTCCGCGGCGCCACAGTCGTCGCCATTCTGGATTGGGAGTTTTCCGGGTTCTTTCCCGAATACTGGGAGTACTGCAAGGCCCTCTGGCGCCCCGGGTGGGACAAGGCGTGGATCAAGGAGGGATTTGTTGATCGGGTCCTTGATCCATACTTGAAGGAAGTTGCGGTGATGCTTAATACATCTTCAGCCTGGTGAATTAGATAGTATCGGTATCGGCGGAGGCAACGAATAGAAAGAAAAGAAGATACAAGAATAAACACATGACTGTGTCCGCGGCAGGTCTTGGCTACTATTCTCTGTTGTATGGTTAAATAGCATCCTATTTACACTACCGATTCCCCCAGCGTGTCCGGCTGTCGACTGGTGCCGACTGACACGCCACGCATCGTTCATTATGCATATTGTGTAGCATACGGATCCGTTTCCATCTCGTCCTCCCAGTTGGCCGTTGTCCCGGCAGGGATCAAGCCCTTCCTCTCTAGATCGGCCAGCACTTCTATCACCCACTGCTGGCAAAACTTTGCCGAGTACTTTTGCGCGGAAGCCTTCACTTTGTTTTTGTCCTTGTCGGAGATTTGGGCGATATAAACCTAAGAAGAAGAATAATATACCTGAAGACATTATATTATAAGTAAAACCTGCTAATATATGTAATAACATGTGACCACTCATTATGTTAGCGGCTAATCTTAAACCTAAAGAAATATTACGAGCTAAATAAGATATTAATTCTATTAAAACTAATAAAGGTAATAAAGGTAAAGGACAACCAGCGGGTACTAATAAAGAAAAGAATTTTAAACCATGTTTTAAAAATCCTAAAATTGTTGCACCTAAAACTATAGTAAAACTTAAAGAAAATGTTAAAATAAAATGACTTGTTGAAGCAAAACTATAAGGTATCATTCCTATTAAATTATTTATTAATATAAAGATAAATAATGTATAAATAAAAGGAAAATATATTTGACCTTTTTTAGGATAGGTGCCGTTCCTGGCGCCTTCTTCAGCAAGGATCAATATCCAATGGCGAGCACCGCCTGTGGCGTTGAGCTTGCATATGGCAATGTAGAGAGTGAGAACAGCCATTGCGTATCGATCACACTTTCTTGCCCGATGGCGGTTGACTGGGGAAGTAGGCTGAGGGACTTAAAGCAACCTGTTTTGCGGGACTGGTAGAGCGGGGAGGTAAAGTGTGTGCTGGTGATGAGTCTCGATAGCAGAGAAATATCTGGGGTCGATGGATATGGCAACGAACGTACAAAGACCCAAGAAAGAAAAGACAGGGAGACGAGCCCATACATATAGAGAAAACAGTACTATTCGCAATTTGGAACGTCGCATGGTCACCAGTCAACGGCCCTTGTTCCTCTCGTCTTCCTCCCTCTCGCTATCTTATTTTGGGGACAAGGCTGACGGTCTTAAAAGCCCCGTGTTTTGCACTGCGATATTGTCATCCAATGAAATCGACTCTCAAAACGTCGGCTCCAGAAAAACGAGCATGAATAAAAGGCGTAACGCCGGCCCTGGCCGTTTGATGGTTTACTTTTTTTTATTTTGTTTTTTGTATGAAAGAAAGGAGAAGGATCAACGTTGAAGCCCGTCGGCGCTTATGCCGTAAATTGGTCGCCCTTTCCGGCCTACCCCATGAGCTGCGACGCCAGGACCAGGAGCCAGCAAGCAGGCAGCTCAAACGAAGGATAATGCCCAACCAACATGGCAGCCTCCAACACACAAAGCGCGCAAAGATGGATATCGATGTCGTGGAGGCGAAAGCAAATGTACCTTACGAAGAAAAAAGATAATACTCAAGGCGGCTTGTCACCTTTTTGTCGTCCCCGTTCCTCCATTGACAGTCATGTGGTGGTGACTTATTTTACGTTCTCGCGTTTGTTGGCCTTCTTTAATTTATGGTTTTATTTTTATTTTTATTTTTATTTTTATTTTTATTTTTATTTTTATTTTTATTTTTATTTTTATTTTAAAAATACTTTTCTTATTTGTACTTTTTTTCTTTATATATATATATCGTTATCTTTTTTTTATAACAAGAGTTGGTCGTTTCTTAATTGTTTATCGTTATAGTTTAACAGTTATCTTGAGTTTATTATATTTTTAAAAGAGATTTTTATAGTAAAAGACTAAAACTTTATATTTTTTTCTAATCCCGTGTTCCGGTGGAGGCCTTATAATTTATGATTCCCTTATTCGTATTTTACTTATTTAATTTATCACGGTCTTATAAAGGAATAAATACTTGAGGTTAAAATAAAGTGACCGTAAATATAGTTTAATAAAGGAAAAGAATAAAGAAGGTAAGAATTTAAGTATACTTAAGTTCTTAAGACTTTCACTTAAACGACGATACGTGGCCGCCTACGAAAGGATTCTTATATATTCCTTTTAAGTGGAGAAGTTTACAGAGTTTTTACAGAGTTTTCTTAGTTCCGTCGCTCGTCGTCTTAAGGCGCGTCGGCGACAATGGAACTTGTTAGAATCTTCCTTTTCGCCTTATGTACGATCGGACTCTGGTTGAGCTTTTGACCTTCCCCGGCTACTTGGGTAAGTTTGGTGGGCGATTACTTGCCGAATCTCTTTCTCCTTACACAAAACCCGAGAGAGAGAAAGCTTGAGCGACCCTCGTGGGTAGACAGGTTCTTATTTATAAGTCGAGAGTATAGAACGCGTAAGGACACTTCCGCTCCTTGGAACAGCCATGTTTTGGGCCCCTTCGGCTTCGCAGTTGTTGTGGCGTAAACAACGAAGGTGGCGCCAACACCACGGGCAGCGCGGCCGGGGATTGGCAAGGGAGGAGATGATGGTTTTGGCCTTCTATTTCAGCCAGACTGTATGAAGGGTGGATGACGAGATGAGCATAGGCATATCAAGAGTATAAAACTAAATTAAGAATTAAATTTACACGGGGAAGAACAGGAACAGTCCAACTACATAATTATATCGCATCTCTCCCCGACCTCACCCCCACTATCCCACTCTCCTGCTCTCCTACTCCGGAACAGTAAGGTCGAGGCCCAGAGACTCGCCGACCCAGTAGCCCAGGGTCTCGCGGACAATGTTGTTGCTGCTCCAGGCGCGCGAGGGGTGGACGCGGTTGGCGAGGTGGACGTAGAAGACGTTGTGGGCGCGGTCGATGACCAGGCTGGTGCCGGTGAAGCCCGTGTGCGACGCCGTCTGCAGGCTGGCGAGCGGGCCGGCCGTGTAGTACTGGTCGAGCTCGAAGCCGAGGCCGTGATCGGCGTCGACATCCCCGAGGTAAGCGTTGTAGTTCTTGAAAATGTGGTCGACGCTCTGCTGCGAGAGGATGCGGCGGCCGCCGTAGGTGCCGTTGTTCAAGATCATCTGGCAGAGCTTGGCGGTGTCGAGGGCGGTCGAGAACAGCCCCGCGTGGCCCGACACGCCGCCCAGCGCCCAGGCGTTCTCGTCGTGGACGGTGCCGCGGACGGGCTGCGGGCGCTGCGGCTCGCCGGCGCCGAGCACGGCGATCTGGAATTCTTGGGTGGCGGCGCGGCCGTAGAACGGGTTGCTCCAGCCCTCGCGGTTGCCGCGATTGAAAAACGTCGAGGCCATGCCGAGCTCGCGTGTGTAGTCGCCAATCAAGGCGTCCAGCGGACGCCCCGTGACGGTCTCGAGCACGACCATGAGGTTCATAAAGTTTAGGTCCGAGTAGAGAAACGTGCTGCCCGGCGCGTTGAGCAGGCGCTGCGTGACGATGGCGTCGATCTTGTCGGCGTGCGTCGCGTAGGCGCCAGAGTACAGAGCCGGCGACGGGTCCGCGTCGAAGCCGCTCGTGTGCGTCATCAGCATCTCGATCGTCACGCTTGCCTTTTCCGTGTCGTTGGCTGCAAACGCGGGCACGTAGGACGCCACTGGGGCGTCCAGCGCGATGAGGCCCGCATCCATCGCCCGCAGCGCCGCCACCGTCGTAAACATCTTGGTCAGGCTGGCCATGTCGTAGACCGTATCCAGTGTCGCGTCTTCCTGCAGATGCGCTGGCAGCAGCGTGCCGTTGGCGTCGGCGTACAGGTTGCGCTTGCCAATGGCAAAGTAGCTGACCACCTTGCTGTCGCGGCCGACAATCGTCACGCCGCCGGGCTCGATCGGGTGCACGGCGTGGTAGCTGTGCGAGCCGTAGTTGGCCGCGTGCGTGAAATTGGTCAGGTTGCCCACCATCGTATGCAGCGGCTCGGCCAGCATCCCGACCGACTGGGGCGTGCCGAAGCCGAGCACATCACCCCCTCGGCCCGGCATGGCCGACGAGAGAGCAGCCAGTAAGCCAGTGGTGAGCAAAATGCGTGAGATAGCCATGACACTTTACGTTATGGGTGGAACAGACGGAATCAAGGAGGGATGGGAGTACAACTACAAAGCAGATGCAAATTAGACTGACGTCTCCTTTATATCAGCTTGACGGAGTGGGGTTGTTCTCACACCGTGGCCTTTTACTCCGTACGTTGTAGATAGCTACCCTTTCCCCGTATCTTGGCGTCTGGGGTATTGAATCAGGAACCGTCGGTCATATTACGGTGGATCCATTATTATTGAATTTGTTTTGGTGAAAAAGGTATTATGAAGATCCTGTGATAACCCTCCAGGCTCCGTTGCTTCGGACTATCGGAGTGAAAACGTCGGAGTAAAATAAGCTTTGTCGGAGTGAGAAATAAGCGTGGCTCCACAATACGGCACACACTCCGAAGTTGACTGCCTATTATACTTAGTCCCGTATGGGGAGAAAGAGCATACTCCGTACACCTTTTTCTGTAAGATTTGGAGGTCAATTTGATAAATCTCGATAAACTTGGTGATGAAAACACGAAAAAAAATCGATGAATTGATGATTTGTATACGGAATTAGTTGTATGTTACAAGGATTAGATTCCAATCTTCGTTCCTCGAAGAGAGAGCGAAAAGAGGATTATTATATTCTATGGTAGGTGAAAGGTTTAGTCATCGTATGTTATAGACTATAGCGCTAGCTTATAGCGCCTATACGCTGTAAGAGGTCGAGGGTACGCCACGAAGGTCGAGGGTACGCCGCGTTTAATAGGTGAAAAAGGGTAAAAAACACTTAACGGTACTATAAATAAAGTTATAGTATTATAAATAGTACCGATTTATAGAGAAAATTCAGGGCTTCTTATAAATAAATATTACCGTACGTATAAATAACCAATTAA